AAAAGCAAATGTTTAACAAACGCAAATAAAGAGAGATTTTGTTAATTTTACCATGAATTTTCTTAAAGTTCATTTCTTTCATAGCTTTCAAAGTTGAAAGAGTCTTCTCAAATTGCACAAATGCAAAGCCTCTCATTTGTCCATCTAAAAAACAGTCAAAATGATATACTTTCATTAATTAATTATTGTATAAAACATAAAAATTTTAATTCCAAACTATACTTAGAATTTTATTATGACTCCTAGAAAGTATATTGCTTTCACTTAATCTGTAAAATCCTGCCCTGTAAAATAAAAGATTGAGTCTCCAAAACTGATGGATGAGGAAAACAAAAACAAAAAAATACAGAAGTAGCCCTTGTGCTTATTCGATTCTTAGAGCGTCACCATTTAGCAAGGCATAAAGTCTTTAACCCTCTAAGCGGCAAGGCCGTATATATACGGCCTAGAATATTTATTGTGATACCTGTAAGAACGTATACATACGTGCATATTGAAAGTGTCAACGAAATTAAGGCAATATATCAAAAGAAAACAAATCCAAGTATGAAATACCAGTACAGTTTTTACATTAAAAATCAAAAAAATAATTTGTTCTCATAGTAGTTTTGGGAAATTTGTGCTTTCTTAGCGAAAACCCTGGCCGCCCAGAGGGTTAACTTATCTTTCTTCCTTTAACCAATCTGTCAGATCCTTTAATGTCTGCTACTGATTAACAAACTGAGCTATTTAAAAGTAATAAATACCCTTCTTAATAATTTAAATCTCTAATTTACTTTCCTTGATAAATTATTTACTGGCAAAAAATTAAAACACATTTAATTTATAAAACTGAGAATTTTTAAGAAAATTTACAGTTTTATTGCAGTTACTCAAGATGATGTTTCTAGCACATACATTATAAAAATGTTATAGAATCTCTCTCTCTCTCTTCCCTTTTTAAAACTTTTAATGGCAAACCTTTCTTTCAGATATAAGCTCTATTCTGCATTCTGCAGTTTTCAAGCTGCAATTTTTTTCAATTATTATCAAATAATAAAGTCAATCAGCCTTTTTACAAGTTTGCATTGAAAAAATCAAAACTTAAGTAACCACTGTTACAACCTACAGTTACATTCATCACAACTGTAATCAAACCAACAACTGTACTGTAATCAAACTTACTGTTACATTTATCACATTTGTTCATACCCATTTTGATAATATTAACTACATGCTAACATTAAATGATGAGAAAAAGTATTCTTCAAAATGGCAACAGAATCTAACTAATATATATATATACAACAAGAAACAAATAAATAGGTACTTTCACAGAATTTTAATTAAGAAAATGAGTTTGTTTAGAAACTGTTTATAATGTCTTTAAGGCAATAGTTATCAACAATTCATAATGCTTCTGGAAATTATTTGATCCATGCTGTATCTTTAATCTTAAATTCAGCAAAAAAGCAACCTTAGTCTTTCGTAAGTGCTTTCAGTGAATTTTTTTCCAGGGGCTGAATTCTGCTGAACAAGTTTTTATTTTTTTAAGAATAGGGCACCTGTGTCTGGTCACTCTCAAACTTGATAGAGTTATTAAAAAACCACATCAAATTAGAGTTGCTATTTTTCTCAGTTTAAATGGTTGACTAAAATAAAAATCTGATGTGTACACCACATGACTTCTTTGTACGGAATATTAAATTATACACATTTTTTCTTGCATTTCATTTAAACTTATTGGATTGAATTAAATCTACTTCGCCAACAGCGCATAAACCACAATAGAATAAATGCATTCTTTAAAATTCACTCTAGTATTTGCATACCATAGCGAAACTCTGGCACTAGATTCACTTAACAGTCCAGGGTTGCCACTCAAACAGGAGAATGAAATTCCCTGACTTTTCCAGGTGTGTTTCAAGAAAATTCCAGTCTATCCGCGTAATGTACGTTGGCTGTACTAAGAGGTAAATTAATTATGGTATTACTTGTATTGTGTAGCAAATTCACTTAATTATTTAATAAATCCCAGAGGACATTTATTCTTAATTATTCTTGGTATACTTTGTTTGATAATTTTGTTTAGTTTTCCACTTAAGAAACTTAATAAAATTTAAGATATATACATTGGATAACAAATGTATGTTTTATTTAATTATTACTCATGATCATCACCAGTTCAACACAAGGCTAATCCGGTCCTTATAAATCACAATGCAATGCTAAATAGTTAGGTTAGATTTTAGGTAAATTTAATTTGCGTGAGGTATGTTCTTAAAAGGCACCTTAACACTTGAAAACACAAATATAATTATAATAGTTGTTGTTTCTCCACTGAAGATTGAAATTAGAATCTTCCCAATCTGGAATAAAATAAGGCTTTTTTTGCAGACATTCTGCAGTTAAACGAAAGAAAGAAATCTATTTTAATAAATTGAGGTATTTTATATTTATTTTGCAGCATACATTAAGGAAAAAAAATGTGTGCATTAATTTTGTATTAAATTTGGTATGTCATCATACTGCTATAATTAATTTCAGGATTATGCCAGAGAAAATTTCCTGAAATTTGGAAATATTATTTACTAATAATAAATAAATTTAGAGGGAAGAAGCGACATTAAATTATATGATAACATAAAAATAATTACTTAAAAATGGAATTAGAATAATCAACGATATTTTAGCGAATATAGTTTATATTACATGGCTAGCCTAGATGACTGATTACTATTTTTTTATTTTACTGAAAACAATGGCAAGGTATTTATTAAAAAAAAAAAAAAAAAAGGTTTAAAAAGATTTTGCGGTAAAATTCTAGTATACGGTAAGGCTTTGGCACGATTTTGAAAATTGTCGCCAAATCCCATTATTATTCTAACCAAAGAACGTCTATGTAAAGAAGAAAAGGTTCCATACAAGTAAAATGCTATTACGCCGCTAGAATACGGAGGGAAAATTTGCCAAGGGATTTGGCGACGGAACCTGGCGGCCAGAATTTCCCTCTCCGCGATGTGTACAGGAAATTGAGAAACACGTGTTAAGAAGAAACGCTTTTTGACAAAAAGAAAACTACGAAAATCCGTTTTTAAATTACTGCGAAAAATCCAAGAAGAAACGTTTTATCAAAGGACGTTTCTTCTTGGATTTTTCGCTATAATTTTAAAAACGGATTTTCGTAGTTTTTTTTTTTTCTTTTTTCCCCTGGAAATAACAATTCCATAATTAATTTATTACTTGCGCAAAAAATATTTTCTTTTTCTTTAGAGTTTAACCACTTGCGCTAAGACTAAACTTCACGGTTGCGGTGCCGTGCGCAACAATACAAGCGGTAAAGTGTCTATTTACGCCGCTCCGCTCTGCGAGTGCAATCCAGAGCTGTAACTCGAGAAATAAACAATCTCGTTGTTAGGACGTGTGCACCAGAAACGTTTTATCAAAGGACGTTTCTTCTTGGATTTTCGCAATAATTTTAAAAACGGATTTTCGTAGTTTTTTTTTTTTTTTTCCCCCCTGAAAATACTAATCCATGAATTAATTACTTGCGCCAAAAAAATTTTTCTTTTCTTTAGAGTTTACCACTTGCGCTAAGACTCTAAACTTCACGGTTTGCGGTGCCGTGCGCTACAATATAACAAGCGGTAAAGTGTCTTGTTTACGCCGCTCCGCATCTGCGAGTGCAATCCAGAGCTGTAACTCGAGAAATAAACAATCTCGTTGTTAGGCGACATGTGCACCACGTTATTTTCATTTTTGCGATAAATGCTTATCGATGTGTTCACGTCGCTCGCGGTTTGAGACAAAAGCATCTTGACGTGCGTGGCACGTCTTTTTAGCGCAAGTGGTTAAAGAAATTTTAAACGATATTCATTTTATGAACTCTTGATAACGTGACCTTCGAACTTCGACACCGTTTTTTCGAGCTTTGGCGACAGATATATCAGACATGCACAGCTGTTTTCCCTCTATGATGGAACGGAGCCACAGCCACGTCTGTTGCAGAGGTTTTCCTTCTTTACAATACATATTCTTTGATTCTAACCTCCATGGTACCGTATTTATGGTACCGCATGGTACCGTAGATTTAACCCAATTTTGTTTTATACGAGAACAGGTACTTTCTTTAGTTCATGCACTTGCACATGCGATTTCTCTCGATTCTTGAGGTTGCTGGAAACCAAAAGTTGTGGGAAACTTGCTTTGCCTTTCTAAAAGACAATCAAATTGGAGCTGGCGAAAATTGGCTCTATGCCAGCTACCCGAATGACACTCACGTGATACATAATTCGCCAAAAACGTTACCTCTTCCGACGTCGGCGCAAAAATCGCTTTTTTTGGCTGGATCGTTGTATGAACTTCCCTGACTTTTCCAGATTTTGACAAAAATACTTAAATTCCCTGACTTTTCCCTGAATATTTTGGTCAATTTTCGAATTCCCTGACTTTTCCCGGTTCTCCAGGTTTTCCAGGTAGCGTGGCAACCCTGATTATATTTCATTCATATTATAACTCATAATGCACAAAATTTATATCATTTAAAGAATAGAATTATCTATTCGCGATAAGGCAAAAATACATAAAAAATCAAAATATCTGTATTAAAAATTACGAAGTAAATCTTAAACACTTATTTCTTCGAAAAAATTCCAGAAAGGATTAAGCATGATTTAATTCGCAAGAATAAATGAAGGCGTTATCTTTGTTGTTGCGAAGCTACGTTTCTCTAGATTGGCAACAAATCCACTACTCTGCTGCTTCAAATATAAACAAGCAATAGTCTCCATCAAAAAAAATTATTAGGCTTAGTGGTACTTAACCAACTTTAAAATTGTTGATAATTCTAAAAATATTGCATACAGATTTACTAAAGGCATAAAAACCTCAACCGGAAGATAAGAACAACATAATTCAATCATTTTTAAAGCAAAAAATGTACAATTTACAAACATATAGGAGTAAAGAAACTGAGATCAATGAGCCGGGTAACAGTGGATATATATATAAATATATTTTTATATAATTAAGACACAATAACACGCCGAATAATACTGATTCAGAAGTCAAACAACAAAAATCAGCGTTAATTCACAAAATTTTCACAGGACTAGTTTCGATGGTTTTACCGAACCATCATCTTCAGCTGCAAACCGCAAATCATT